GGGGCGGGGGAGGGAGCGGGGTGCGATTCTCACCTCTAGAGATAAATGAGAAGGAATCGAGGGTGGCTCCTCATCACATATCGCGCCCTGAGTGCGGCGGTGCCATCCTGGGCGCGAGAGAGGCGGCTGGAGGTGGGCGAGGACCCTCCCATCTCACCTTGGGGCTGACCTTGGCTTGACCATCCAGGCATCCTGACCTTTCTTGCCGAGGGGGGCAGGTGCGCAAAGGAGTCTGGTGCAGGGACTGACGCCTCTTCTGGATCTTTAAAAAACATATATATTGTTATTCATGTCAGAGAGGAAGGGAGAGGGAGAGAGAGAGAGAGAAACATCCATGATGAGAGAGAACCATGGATCGGCTGCCTCCTGCACAGATCGAGCCCACCACCGGGGCATGTGCCCTGACCGGGAATCGAACCTGGGACCCTTCAGTTCGCAGGCCGACGTTCTATCCACTGAGCCACACCAGCCAGGGCCGGGACAATGACTTCTCCTTAGAAGGCACCCCAAAACCCTGACTCCTGCAGCGTTGATTCTGGTCTAACCACCAGCCTGGGAGGAAGACCTCCGTGTGGCGTGAGCCGCGCAGCCCGGAGCCATGTCTCCCGTGGCCGCCAGGGGGCAGTGCGGGGTGCTCGTTGACAATGACATTGACCCAGATGTTACCGATTCGCCTGGTTCCGACCTGCTCAATACCCTTAAAGCAGCGATTTTCAAGCTTTTTTTTTTTTTTCCATCTCACGGCACGCGCCAGCCGGTTACTAAAATATTTCATGTTTTGCGGGTCTATTCGGGCTCCACTCCCTCACGTCCCTAAAGAAAACGTCAAGGTTTTTGCGGACAAAGCCCCGGAACCGTCTTTTTTGCTGTGGTCTGTGGTTGTGTGTGGCTCGTTCTAACATAAGGCGCTTCCTCTTGGCAACCCCAGGACGGAGCCCTCTGAGCCCCTCCCTGAACCCCCAGTTTTAGAACCCGGGGGTCCCCGCGCTGCTTCCCGGGCCCCTCCTCGCGCTGCCCGTTCGCAAAGCCGCCGACGGTCCCCGCTCGCCTCCTCTCGGG